TATATATATATATATATATATATATATATATATATATATACTGAGTAGGCATCAACTGTCGAAAACTGCTGAACGACGACTGTCTTCCAACCGCAGATTCAAGGTTTCACACCAGTAAAGCAAAATTGATCGTACAGAGGCGCAGTATACGCGACTTTTCAAATTCAGTGAAACATCACATCTTCGCCACAAAGGTTCAAGTCCTGCGTATGCCGCTCGAGCCTTGGAAACGCGGGCGGTTATCTCCTCCGATGGGCTGCCGTCGTTGGGCGAACCGCTACCTAAGTACAAGAAGCACTCAACTTCAGCTAATTCCTTACCGACAGAACTTGCTCATCTGTCAAGTGCTTATTGTGCATCATGCATAGATTCGAACAGGTAAACGATGCCGTAAGCGTACCCTAGGTCGCACAGATTTTATCCAGCTGTCCATCCAATACATACACTTTGGAGAGCACTTAATGCGTTCTCCAGTATTTCGACTATGACGAAATGGAACAACAATGGCGAAAGACAGCACCCTTGACGAACACCGCTGCTAGTTACGAACGAACTACTCTGCTCGCCGTAGACCCTTACGCTACCAGAAGTATGTGAGAAGCGTGAACTTAGCTTGTTCACATACGTCTGTGGCATTTCTTTACGAAGGAGCGAACCCATCAGAGCTCCGCGGTCAACTGAATCGAAGGCTTTTTTGGTCATGGGACACAATAACCGTTGGTCGACGATGCGTACGGCGTAGCTCGAGGTCTTGACGCAGAGTGAAGATTTGATCGATATAACCACAGCCTGGTGGAAATCCTGCTTGTTGTTCGCGGAAACTTGTCTCCCTAAACGGTGTCATAGGTAGAAATATGATGGAAGCTAATACCTTGATCACGATTGGGATCAAACTTATTCCACAGTAGTTCGCGCAGTCGTTGCGAGATCCCTTCTTAAAAATTGGAACAATCAGTGATTCGCTCCACGATGATGGAATGCGCTCGTGTGACCATATGTTACTCATTAAATCAGTAACAGAGTCTAGGAGGTAGTCGCTTTCCATCTTGAAAAAGAGTGGGTCGAAGCCCGTCCGGTCCTGTTGCTTTTCCTTTCCTCAGGGCTTGGATGCAAGATCAAACTTCTGTTGTAGTAGGAGGTTCAGATGGTACTGACCAAGGAGCCTCAGCTACACCATAGGAGATAGTCTGGTTAGCACCTGACCAGCTGAATTGTCCGTTGAAGTACTCCGCCCACCGGGCACGCGTTGTTCCCTATTCTGAATAGCTTGTCCACTTTTGTCGCAGACTGTTTGACCGACTGTGGTTCGCGGACCTCCCGTGTTGCGTATCAGTTGGAACAGACTGACTATTCCCTGATGCAGCTGTTACTTCCATTTCACTAGCTGTCGTTGTCCACCAGTCCTCATGATCTTTCCTGAGGCTCTTGATTTGGCGTTGTAGACGCCACCTACCCCTGTCTTGATACTGGGCGGTCGGGATTTGACGCTTTTTCTCCATCAGTGCTACCGACTGCTCAGATATCCAATGCCTCGAGCAGGCTACCACTTCAGATCCACAAGCAACCTTTGCTGCGGAATGCATTGCTCATCTGATCTAATCCCACTGTTTATCTACNTACCACCCCGCAGCGCGTTTAGCTCTTCCTCTGGTTCTGATTCAAAACGAGCACGAACGGTTGGGTCAGATAATCGATGAAATGCCAATCGAGTTTGGTGGAGTTTTGGCGACCAGTGATTTGGAGATTAAAGTGCATCAAAACTAACGCAGGCGCTCCAGTGGGACCTGCAGTTTTGTACTGAACCGCGCCAACAATGGCTTACTGCTGTGGTTGATATGAGTGAGTGTGCCAGTTGAATTTGAGCGTCACGTTGCTGTCCGTTGAGAACTGTGTTGTAAGTTGGTGCTGTATAGTAACAGGTGATGATCTGTGCAGAACCGAAGACGTCGATCGGCACTATCTGTTCGTTAGCAGGGCAGAGCACAACGACCGACTAAGCAAGCTTCCGATGCGCTCAGTTTTCCGACGTGAGCGTTTAAATCACCTGCGAGAACAATTAAATAGGAGCTTCGGCCCAACCGAACGAGATCGGTGAGCTTAACATAAAAATCGTCCCTTTGTGCGTCAGAACTACAGTTCGTCGGTGCATACACTGAAATGATGAGCAAACACCTTTTGGTTTTGTTTCCCTTCCGGACGCTGATAGACCCTTGGAGCCGCATCGCACATAACCCACTGTTGACGGGGATTCAATCGAGTAGTGCGGCTTCAGCTGTATTGTTGAGTACGATACCCACACCACGCTGGCCTACTAAACGGGCTTCGTCATCATCCGACGTGCGGTGGAGGAACTTCGAAGACAACCCCGGCGCAATTAAGTAGCTTGTAGTACCAGGATACTGGATTCGCGTTTCCGATACGCAGCAGAAATCAACTCCCAAAGAGTCCATTGTATGCGCCAGACACGCTTGTTGACCTACCTGCATCAGAGTCCTCATGTTAAAGACCCCCGGATTCAGTGTTTCACGAGGCTTCAGAATCTGTGATCTATTTTGTGGTAAACTACTTACTGGGCTACTTGGTAACAAACATTGGTAAGCGACGAACAAGTTATCTGGGGGAATTTTACAGGCTGGAAGGAGGTGTAAAGGGAGATCGTTGAAGACGGAGTTAATCAAAGATTGGGAAATCTGAGCAGTAGCCCACTTATCACTACCCACCCCGCTCGATGCAATGGGCAGCGCGGTTCTGATTATCCTGGGTGACGACCGATGCAGTATGAAATTATTTTTAGTTTGTTTATGCATTGGGGTTTGATGGACGGGTACTGCTAGGATGTCCAGCCACTAAGCAGGAGAACAATTAGGGTTCCCGTTCAAGGCCTATAGTTCTAACAAGATCCTAACCGCAAGGCAGCGGCTGAAGCGAAGTAGAGGCCTATTCACTTGGATCGATTACTGCTTCATCGTTTTTTTACCGACTGAGACGCTAACTCGGGTCGAATCCCCAACTTGGAGGACCAGAAGATTGGACTCCGTCTGACCTCTACCCATTGACCTTCCAGGCATGATTAAGTCTGCGGCTTGACAAAAGCCATCCTGTGTATCTCGTTGGGTCAGAGAGGTGCACAGGTCACCACATCACGTCAAGGTGCAGTCTCGTCGTGATGGCGTGTGTGTGGTTCACACAGTCGATGAGAGATCATTTCTTCGAAATTGGAACAATCCCTGCTTCATCCCAAAACGATGGAGTAATCTCCTGCTAACAGATACGTTTCAGCAAGTCAGCACTAGTCCACGAGATTGCCCTTCTTTCCCCAGCCTCACACCTGGAAACTGGTGGTAGGCAATGCTTTTATCATCCAGTTCAATACAAATTATATTGACGTTTTTGTCACTCCTCGTAATGCTCAAGCTTTCAATTCCATCACAGGAACGAGTCGATCTCATGGCCACAGGATTCACTTCAGTTACTTTTCACTACACAACGATGTGGTAGCAAAAACCTACTTATCGTCATCTCTCTTTCTCTTTCTCTCTGATAGTCAAATTAGTTAACCTGAACGCTGTTTCTCCATCACGTAGCAGTAACCATAAGCTATGCGCGGGACGACAGAAATGTGTCGCACATGACTAAACTTTGTTGACTTAGTGAAACAACAATATGATACTTGAAATCCTTTAACCTAAAACTGTTTTCGTGTTAAAAATATGTTTACTTTATTTTCCTCTCACTTCCCTTCAACGAATGAATTTCATCGATAGCACTGAACTTCTTGATCTTCAGAAGCGAAGTATAAACGGTGAGGCATACAGGAGATTTGACTGCATCGAAGAGCCATATCGATGCAGGAAAACGGAAATGATGGCAAATGACTGATATTTCTCTGTAACATTAAAATTTATGATCGTTGGTGTTACGATGTGGCCGAAAAAAATAAAAAAAATCCAGGTTTTAATCAAATGATAAGATCATTCGAACTTTGTGTGAAGGGCTACAAAATGTCACTGATACAATGAAAAAATATTTAGCTACGTGAAGAACGAATTAATTCATTTTTCTGTTGATTAATAATATTCTCATTGATGATGAGAAAATGAGGTGGCCAACAGATGGCGTGGGGACTAGATATAAAGAGTTGCGGAGAGAGATTAGGTATAGTAGATGTCGCAAAGCTTCTTAGCTGGAGTTAAAAGGGCTGTAACTAATTGGTTGGAAACAATGAAGGACATGACAGGAACCGACATCAATGGTGCTTCCTATCAAACCAGATAGCTTGCAAAGAATTATTGACGCAGTGTACCCTCTGTTGACTATGGTGGTTCACTTTCTTCCTCTCCTCAAAACAGATCCAGTCAGTAATTATTATAAACATCATTTTCATTATTGAGTCTGTGAGTTTGGCAGCGATCATCAAAGTTTATTTCACTCGATAAACCAGAGACAAAAAAGTAGATGGAATCTTACCTGAATGGTAAAAAACGGCCGATTTGTGCACCCTTCCCTGACGATGACTATGCGAGGGCGATGGCGAAATCTAACGGGATACATTCTGGCTATTCGACGACCAGGAGCTCGAGGTTGATGAGGCCACCAGTCACTGGATCGTTCAGGACCGGGTATAATATTTCCATCGGTATCGGAACTGTTACTGAAGCCCGTCAAGTTCCTCGCGGACAAAGTGATACCTCGCACAGATATGTCATTTATACATTTGACGACGGTTTTTCTCACTGCATGCATAACGTGAAGGCTAAAATATATTAAATTCAAGAAGAGACCGGAAAGTAAGTGGGAATGAAGATGCAATTACAAACTTTGTTACACACTGGGGAACCATTGTTATTCGCGACTATGCTTTCAAAGCAATGCTATTGTTTTGGTGGAAACATCGTGTGAGCAATGACGAAAATCATCGCCGTGTGCTGGGTACTCATAGCAGTGTTCTAAATGAAGTAATCAATCACCACCATTTCCGTATGCATGTACGTCTCCCACCTATCTGTGTGCTCTTTATACGTGCTGAACAAGGCAGGAAGAAGCGCAGGGGCAGTCGAACCATGACCTGGCGTAGAGGTATGAAGAAGTTAGCCTCTACACTGGCTTCGGCTGATGCTCTTTTTCTTTATTTCACACCTTTCTGAGGACAGACGGTGTGCGAAGAAAATTACGGTACAATAATCCTTATAAAAAAGAAAATGTTCCATGATTGCCTTGTGGGTTGAATACCGCGAATTTTTTCAACTCTGTTAGAAAATATGGGCTTAATCTAAACGAAGAAAAGTGTATGATTGGTACCAAAGAAGTAAAACTCCTGAGTTACGAAGTCTCTCGCGGTTTGATGAAACCGGACCCTGAACGATTGAAGCCACTCCTAGAACTTCCACCTCCAAAGACCTCAAATCGCAACGCCGGGTAATCGGTTCATTTTCATATTACTACCATTGGATTCCTCGATTCTCGAACAATATACATCCCTTGATACATAATAACACATTTCCCCTACCAGAGGACGTCAGAATATCCTTTGAAACGCTCAAAAGCGAACAAGAACACACAGTCATCACCACCATAGATCCGAAGATACCACTAGTCGTGGAGACGTAACTATTTCGGCTACTAACTCGCGGAATCGTAGACCGGTTGCCTCCTTTTCCAGAACGCCGTCTCCAAGCGAAAGGCATCATTCCTCCGTAGAGAAAGAGGCCAACGCCATCGTCGAGGCTATCCGGAAGTGGAAGCACTATTTGCTTGGCACGCACTTCAGATTGATCACAGATCAAAAATCGGTTGCCTTTATGTTCGATTCGACACACCACGGTACAATTAAAAATGATAAAATTCAGACATGGAGAATCGAACTATCATGTTACAGCTTCGATGAAATTTATCGCCCCGGACACGAAAACGTTGCGGCAGACGCATTGTCTCGCAGCTTCTGTTCAGTGTCCACATCACGTGAACCACTCAAGCAGCTACACCACTCACTGTGCCTTCCCGGAATCGTGCGAATGCTTTATCTTGTTCGAATTAAAAATCTCCCCTCTGTCAATGAAGTTATATCTGTGATCGGTGGCTGCTCAATCTGTGCCAGATGGAAACCACAGTTCTGTAAATTTCCTACGGGAAGTTTAATCAAAGCCACTGCACCGCTTGAGAGGCTGAACATTGATTTTAAAGGTCCGCTTCCTTCAGAATCTCGGAACCGATACTTGTTGACGATGGTGGACGAGTACTCTCGATTCCAGTTTGCTTACACCTGCTCTGACCTATCAGCTGCTACAGCCATCCGGTGTCTCACCAATTTATTCTCGATCTTTGGTATGCCTTCCTACATACATTCTGATAGGGGTTCGTCCTTCATGTCTGAGGAGCTTAAGAATTTCCTTCACAACAACGGCATTGTCTCCAACAGAACGACAGCCTACAACACTCGCTCAAACGGACAAGTTGAGAGACTAAACGGGACCCTTTGGAAGACTATCGTTCTCGCAGCGCAATTGAAAGGTCTGCCGTGTACTCATTGGGAATACGTTCTACCGGAAACTCTCCACTCTATTCAATCACTACTGTGTATAGCCACCAATGCGACCCCACACAAGCGAATGTTTTCTTATCACCGCAAATCTGCATCAAGAGTCTCTATACCAACCTGGTTGAGTATTACTGGACCTGTCTTAATGCATCGACCCATAAGATTAACAAAAACCGACCCGAATGTAATCCCAAGTACACCCATATCCGTTTCCTAAATGGGCGAGAAGATACTGTATCAATACACCACCTGGCGTTCAGAGGTCAAGTCTCTGAGTTACCAACGGCTATGTATCCAGAACGCAATGAATCATTAATCCCCGAATGCGATTCTCAACCCCCTCCTCATACAGAGAGTAGCAATTTTGATGAGACAAGCACCACGAACATTTTCCCACCCTTCGTTAAAACACATCCACACAATACAGAACCCGAGATACATCCATTAGCAAGAGCACAATAACGCACCCACCCTTATAATTTGAGAAATCGGGAAGCATAGAACATTTTTCACATACGAAAATTCCGATCAAAACTATCTATGGGGTGAATATTATGTTGCACTCTTGTTTATTGTTTCACATTACTTTATACTCGTCCCTCTAAATTTTCCCCTCATTCCTTTTCAGCCCCTGTCGTCTATTTGTATGTTGAATATAGCCTAGATATCGGGCCTTTGTCTTCTCCCTGTTCAACGACTGTTACGATCGTCTCTCATATCAAACGTTATAGCAGAAAACGAGGTGGCTCCTCGGGTATTACGCCCGAGGACTTTAATACTATAGATAGGCCATCCCCGTCAGCTCTATCACCAGAAATTATCAGTGTGGTACACGAATGCTTGTAGTATCAGTGGAATGGAAGGAGAACTAGGAGCCCTCTCCCGAGGATCAGATATAGTCAGTATCACTGAATCATGACTGAACAAGCAGCAAACAGCTGTCCATTTAAATGAATATACAAGCTATAGGTCGGACAGGACTGACGGCAGACAGGGGGGCGGATTACTGCTGCTCGTCAATGGTGCCCTAAACCAACGGGAAACGCAGCTAGAGTTAGCTATGCCGAATATCCAAGCCACAGGATGCTGTATTCAACTGGGGCGGAAGCAACTGGGCGTAGCATGCAAATATAGAGCCCCGAATACGAAGTCAGAGGAAGATACGGAGCTGCTTATGACGTTACAACAAACGCTGGCGAAATACCAGCGTTTTGTCATCACTGGCGATTTCGATTCAATAGCATGATTAGTGGGGGCTGCATTCTTGCAACTTCTACAAGAAAGAGCTCTGATACAGCATGTGACAACAACAACCAGATATCGAGGACATCAGAGACCCTCGCTGCTAGACCTAGTTGTCACAAAGTACCGCTCGGACATAACTAGTCTAAATATGGAAGAACCGTTGGGCAAAAGTGACCAAGAAGTTATTTGCTTTAGAATAATGGTTAGCTATCGTAGGCACAGACCTACTCTTATGCGTCTCTATGGCCGCATAAACGTCACAGAATTGGTACAAGCTGCAAGTACCAT